AACTTTCTGTCTCAATAAATTCTTCACATCGAGAAGAGAAGGGTTGCTTGTTTGTCAGTCAAGGAGGTGAAGCAATAGGGTTAGACCAGCTAATGACCATTTATTAAGAATAGGAAGATGCTAGGGCATGGGAAGCTAGGAACAATAGGAGGCCATTCTGCCCCTTAAGTCTAGCATCCTGCCTGATCTGAACACTAATGCTATTCTCTCCATGGTTCTGATAGCCTTAGGTAATTCAAATCTATCAAACTCAATGTTGAAACTTCCAGCCCATTTGCTACTTCTTCGACTAGAGACCCACCCTATTTATGTCTAGACCATAATTGCACTGTACACTCTTTATGGTTTACATTTTCTTTCTATAATAAGATTCTGAGACATCTCATGGTGGCTCAGTAGTTAGCACTACTGCCTCACAGCCCCAGGGATCTGGGTCTTCTGGGATCTTCTGTGCCTTCTCTGTCGATTCTTCGGTCAGAAATATTCAGTAGTTGGTACTTTCTTTAGATGGTACTTTTGCTAAGACGTAGAGGAGTCTGTGAGAGCCAGAAATTCTCTCTTGAGAGCTGAGGGCTGTTAGCTCTGGCAGGTGGCATTTAGCTCTCCTGATTTTCCAAATGCCCCCTTCTTTTATACCCCAATGGCATATCAATTTCTTACAATCTGATTGGACCTAGGTTGTCAAAACCATCAGATTCAAATTTGATAGGTCTTTGATATCTAAAGTGCCTGGTTCAAATTGATTGGCAAAATTCAAAAACCTGTTATCTTGCTTGGCTTGCTAACTGTACAGCCTTTCAATACAAATGTTTCATTTTGGGTGCTCTGAGTACTTACAACCTTTCAAGCTGCTCACAGATATCTCCAAGCATAGAAAAAGCACAATCTTTCCCTCTAGCACTTTACAAACACGAATATTTTACAAACACCAAATTCTAACATACTGCCTCCCAATCCACAAATACTCTACCTAACTTTGCAGCGGAAGCTACAGATATTAATCTTTTTCCCAGGGCGGAAATGACTATTACAAGGGGGCATAATTTTAAGGTGATTGGACGAAGGTATAGGGGAGAGGTCAGAGGTAGGTTCTTTACACAGAGAGTGGTGGGTGCGTGAAATGCACTGCCGGCGGTGGTAGTGAAGTCAGATACTTTAGGGACATTTAAGCAACTCTTGGATAGGCACATGGATGATAGCAGAATATAGGGTATGCAGGCTAGTTTGATCTTAAAGTAGGATAATAGGTCAGCACAACAACGTTGGCCGTAGGCCTGTACTGTGCTGTGCTGTTGTATGTTCTAATACACAGTACACTATACTTTGTAGATAGAAAAAAACATGTGCATGCAAGGCACCTATTTCAACACAACAAAATATTTGACAGCCATTTGCTGGTTCATTTCTCAGGGCAATGCATGACAAATCAGTGTCAAATTTAAATAATGCTTGGCATTTAGCAGTCAATCATCACCAACTGCTGCACTCATATAAACTGCCACAATGGGATTTGAGCTTTGCATTCTCTGGGATAGTAGCACCTCTTGGAGTGTCAGCTGTGGCTTAGTAGGCGGCCCTCTCACCTGTGAATCACAAACCTTCTGGGTTCAAGTCCCACACTGGGGTTCAAATACAAAAATCAGCTCCGGTACTGAGTGAGTGCTGCACTGTCAGAGGTGCTGTGTTGACGAGATGAAATGTTACGCCAAGGGCCCTTCTGTGTTCAGGTGGATGTAAAAAAAAATCCCATTACACCAATTCTGGCTGACATTTATCAATACCAGATTATCAGGTCATTATTATCATATTGCTATTGGTGGGAGTGTGATAGGCTGCTGCAATGCCTACATTATAACAATGCCAACATTTCAAAAACACACTATTGGCTGTGAAAGTTTTGGGGCATCTGCTGGTTGTGAAAAGCACTGTATAAGTGTATAAATTCATTTCTGAAGAAGAGTCCAGACCCGAAACTTCGGCTTCCCTGCTTCTCTGATGCTGCCTGGCCTGCTGCGTTCATCCAGCTCTACACTGTATAAATGGAAGTCTTTTCTTCCAAGTTTCGTAACAGAAACAGTCCTGTAGCTCAACAGTCCAAGCTTGCAGTTGTGCAACCATGAATACATCTTAATAGCAGTCTCTGTGTTTGAACTCATTCAGATTATTATATAGCAATGTCAGCAAGATATCTCATTTTGCTCCTCATTTTGTATTCAGCATTTAGTTAATATCAGGGTCCAAGGTGAGATGTGTTGGATTGGACTCCAGAGAGACCTGAGCTGCCCCAGTCCCTCCTCTACACATTCGCACTCTGACACACGCTAGCCCACAACAGCGAGAGGTGGGCAAAGCAATATGGAGACATGGAGAGGGCAGAACTGGCTTGGCTACGGAGGCTCACCACAGTTGAATAGCTTACTGACACCTGCAAAAGGCAGGGAACAACTTGGAAAGAAAAGAGGAGATCTACCATACAACTGACTAGCCCACACCAGTAGCACAGCAAGAACTTGATACTTTTGCTAGAGGAGAGGAGTCCACAAAAACGTGCATTTATATAGTGGCCTAAATCTGCTCAAATGTCCTACGATGCTGTGCAGAGGCAGGTCAGACAAGCCTGGGTGCTGCGTGAAAGGAGGCATTCGGAGGAGAATCATTAAAATCTTGGCTCACAATTGATTTTAAGAAGGATTTTCTCCTGAAGTGAAGGACGTGATGAGGATGATTGGTGCCCCCTCCCATATCAATCTCTCCCCCCCCAGTAAGAACAGTAGCTCAGTTGACTCCGGGTCATGAATACTGAGACAACACATGGTCATCCCAGCTTTGCCCCTGGATTCCAGCTCCCAGAATCAGCAGTCTGCTGGACCTCAGCTTCCTCAAGCTAGTCACTGGGCTACGGACTATGTTATTTTATAGATTTACTTTCCTTTTCCCCAACAGACCTTCTGCAGGGCTCCTTTTATGTGCATTTGCGTCTTGAGTTAACTGCTTTCATCTTCATGTGAAGCCCTGAAATTTCCTCCCTACACTTCTCCGCCTCCCTACCTCACACTTTTGTTCTCTAAGGGCCTCCTTAAATCCAATCAAACCATTTGGTCATCTGACCTAATATGGCCCATCCACGGTTCAGTGTCCTGCTTCGATAATGTTCAGCTCACCTCATAAAACCTGCTAAACCCAGAGGACTGGATGTGAATTCTGCTAATGTGACTCTCCAGCCCTTCCTCCCAGTATCAGTTGACCATGCAGTGTTCTTACCCTTCATCCTATCAGCAAGATGCTAGAAGTCTCTCTCTACTCAAACCCCTGATGACTATTGAAGGATCAGCTTTCCTACCAGAAGCCAACGGAACACATTTTCTGGAGCAGTGGTCCCTTGCTCATTAACTCAGGCTCAACTAGTTTCTCTTGTTTCCGAATCAGAAGATTAGAGAGCCGATTGTAATCAGTCGGACACCTTTAGGATAGTGTGTTTGAGCGGGAGTTCCGGATTCTGGGGGAAATCATCAAAGAAATGGCAAGTGCAAGAATCTTGTGAACTCGAAGCAGCTTAACTGATTTATCCGGGTTATATCCCCAGTGTAGGAATCCAGACAATGTCTGGGGATACAGTGAGCTCCAATTGCCCCAATGGGAGGTGGTGAAATTTGAATTGAATAATGATTCTGGGAGATAACGCTGGCCTAATGGTAACAATACAACTCCCGTTGATTGTTTTAAAAAATACCATCAATGATGTCCTTTTAGGGAAGGAAATTTGCCATCCTTACCCAGTCTGACCTACGTGTGACTCCAGACCCACAGCAATGTGCTTGACTCTGAATTGCCCTCTGATAAATTGGGGATGGGCAATAAATGCTGCCCTAGCCAGCTATACCCTCATCCCATGGATGAATAAGCATAAAAACCATCCTTCCCCACCACTGGTTGTCAGCCATGTTGATCCACTGTGTGTGTTGTCTTCCCACCCAATTTGAAAAGGAAAGCACTCTATATTTAGAGAGGACTGGGGAGTCCAGAACCTGAGAAGTGGGGGCAGGCCATTTAGGACTGAGACAATGAGAAATGTCTTCACTTGGAGGATGGTGAACCTGAGGAATTCTCTACCACAGAAGGCCAAGTTGCTGAATATAATCAACAAAGAGATAGATCATTTTTTTTAGATTTTAAAGGCAACAAAGGATATTGAAGAAAGTGGGAAAATGGCATTGTAACAGAGCCATGATCATATTGAATGATGGAGCAGGCTCAATGGGCTGAATAGCCTGCTCCTATTTTCCGTGCATGATTCACAGTCGAACAGACCATTTCTTGCCTTTACAGTGAGTGACGCTGGGGTTTGTTTGCCTGTCCATGTACAGAGGGCTATACTGTACAGGACTGTCATCTCCTCAACAGAATGATACTGAGTTCTAGCAGGTGCTTGGTAGCATCAGGCCAATGGAAGAATACCAAATTTCAAACAATCACAACAATTTATACTACAGGAGAGAAGGGTGCTGATAGGCTGGCAAGGTGATTATGATTGGCCACAGTATTACCATGGTAAAAGCAAAAGGGACCTATGAGCTCCCGGGCTCAATTTAAGATAATCAGTTGAGTTTGTAAGGGTGGCTTAAAGCTCACTAAAAGCACAACATTCACACACAGGGACCCGTTCTGTGTGAGGAATTTGCTCATGCACCTCTTGGAATTACCTAGGAGGCCTAACGTCTCCATGGCAACATCTTGGCTAATCAGCACCCTTTCCTTCATTAGTATAAATTGATGTGACCCTTTGAAATTTGGCACTTTTGCATCTGGCCCTGACAAATGCTTGATGAAAAGCTTTGGCAACATAAATGTCAAGATATTAAGATCATTGCTTCTCTGGAGAACAGGCAGCAAATTTATTGGAATAGTTCTTTCTCCGACAGCAGACCATGGCACAGGGAGGAAGGACATTTGGTAACGTTTAATGAGCTGTGGATTTTTGTTTTCTCCTTTCTGTATTGCAGATCTGCGCCGGATGACAGCTGGATTCATGGGCATGGCAGTGGCCATCATTCTGTTTGGCTGGGTAGTCGGAATCTTGGGCTGCTGTTGGGATCGAGGCCTGATGCAGTATGTGGCTGGCTTGCTGTTCCTGATGGGAGGTAAGGATCCACTGATTCTATTATTGTGCATTCGATAACACATGCAATGAACAGCAAGGTTACAGCACGAACCCCAGAAACTCTGAAATAACAATAGAGATCACTGAAAACACTCAAAAAGTCAAGGGCACAAGAGGGGACCTATGAGAGGTTCATAAAATTGTGGAAGCTTTAATACAGAGGGATTAGAGGAGTTTTACAGAAGCTTTTACAAAGGAGACTAAGGGAACTTAAGTTGGCGGGGAGGCTAACATTCCATTTTCAGCTGATAGTTTGAAGTTCTGCTCTCAGAGTCTTTCGGGAACCTGTGTGACATTCAGCAGCATGTCATGAATATTCTTTAGCATAGAATCCCTACAGTGTGGAAGCAGGCCATTCAGCACATCGATTCCACACCGATCCTCAAAGAGCATCCCACACAGACCTACATCTCCCTACCCTGTTCCTGTGACTCTGCATTTCCCATAGTTAACTCACCCTGACCTGCACATCTTTGGACTGCGGGAGGAAACCAGAGCACCCGGAGGAAACCCACGCAGACAACGTGCAAACTCCACACAGTCACCTGAGGCTGGAATCAAACCCGGGTCCCTGGCACTGTGAGACAGCAGTGCTAACCACTGAGCCACCTGCTGCCCTAACCTATCAGCCCAGACCACTCATATTACAGTCACAGGCACAATAATAGGGAACACGCATGCTCCATATGAAATGTGTACTTGTCTATCGACTGCTTCTTCCAGCCTCTGGTGAGAATTCTGTCCTGGAGACCCTTCAGGAGAAACTCAAGGGAGAGAGACATGGCTGACATATGGCACTGTTTTGCTCTCTGACATCTTCAGGGGTGTTGAACAGCGTTCGAGTGCTGCTCCTGGATTGTGAAGAGTGAAGAGTTTTTTCGGGTGTGTGGGTGGGTAAAGGATGTGGGAGAGTGTGCTCAGGCCCTAAAGTTATTGAACTCAATATTGAGTCCAGAAGGCTGCAGTGTTCCCTAGCACAAAATGAGGTGCTGCTCTTTCAGTTTGTGCTGAGCTTCGCTGGAACACTGCAGCAAATCTGAAACAGAGATGTTGTTCGGGGAATAGTGGTGTGTTTAAGGAGCAGGCAGCTGGAAGCTCAGCATCACTTTTGTGGCCAGAACAGAGGTGTTCTGTGAGGCGATCCCCAGTCTGCACTTTGTCTCCCCATTGTAGAGCAGCCGATCCAGTAGACTAGATTGAGTGAAGAACACCTTCTCCCTTTCCCAGACACTTCCCACTTAATTCTGTGATTCTTCTGACGCTTTACATCAGTTTCAGAATTTTCGGTTTACCATCTCCAGCCACCCCCACTTTACTATGGATGTGCAATCCCTTTACATGCCCATCCCCGATCAGGACAGTCTCAGGGCTCTCTGCTTCTTCCTGGAGCAAAGGCCTGAACCATCCCCATCCACCACCAGCCTCCTCCACCTGGCCAAACGCATCCTCATTCTGAACATCTTCTCTTTTAACTCCTTCAAGTCAAAGTGTTGGCCATGGGTACCCGCATGGGCCCCAGTTATGTCTGTCCCCTTGACTGGTGGAATGTGGAATATTCCTTGTTCCAGTCCTATTCTGGCCTCCACCCAAAACTCTTTCTCCGATATATCGATGATATCATCGGTGCTGCTTCCCTCTCTTATTTGGAATTGGAAACGTTTACCAATTTCGCTTCCAATTTCCACCCTGCCCTCACTTTCACCTGATTGTCCCTTCCCTTCCTCAACATCTCTGTTTCCATTTCTGGGAATAAACTGGCCACTAATATCCACTATAAACCCACGGACTCGCACTATACATCCTCACACCCTGCTTCCTGTAAAGACTCCATCCCATTCTACCAGTTCCTCTGTCTCCCTTATGTCTGTTCCAATGATGCCAACTTTGAAAAAGGAGCCTCCAAAATGTCCACCTTCTTCCTCAACTGAGGATTCCCCAGCACTGCTATCGACAGGGCCCCCAGCCAAGTCTGACCCATCTCCCACACTTTAGCCCTCGCCCCCTCTCTTCCCTCCCACAACAGCGATAGGGTCCCCTTTGCCCTCACCTACCATCCCCCCAGCATTCACATCCAAAGAATCATTAGCCGCCACTTCTGTCACCTTCAGCGGGCTGCCACCACCAAACACATATTCCCCTCCCCTTTCCTCCCTTGTCTGCCTTCCGCAGGGACCGTTCCCTCCGAGACACCCTGATCCACTCTTCCTTCACTCCCAACACCTCCCCACAGCCTCATGGCACCTTCCCCTGTAACCAGCGAAAGTGTAACACCTGCCCATGTACCTCCTCCCTCCCCAGTATCCAAGGGCCCAAACATACCTTCCAGGTGAAGCATCATTTTATATGCACTTCCCATAATCTAGTCTACTGCACTCGCTGTTCACAATGTGGTCTCTTCTACACTGGGGAAATGAAGTGTAGACTGGGTGACCACTTCGCAGAACACTTATGTTCCCTCTGCAAAAATGACCCTGAGTTTCCAGTTGCCCACCACTTCAACACACCACCCTGTTCCCTGGCCATCATCTCTGTCTCTGGCTTGCTGCAGTGTTCCAATGAAGCTCAGTGCAAGCTAGACGAACAACACCTCATTTTCCGCTGGGGGACCCTGCAGCCTTCAGGGCTCAATATCAAGCTCAACAATTTTAGGGCTTGAGTCACCTTTTCCTATGTCCTTACCACAGCCCCCACACACCAGGCCTTGTCATCACATGGTCTGCTATTACACACAACCTATTGTCAGCCACTAATGGTCCCCCTTAGTAGCTATTTGTTCTCCCAGGCTGACCTTTACCCACTCCTTTGTCTGCCCAATTGTTGATCTCTCTCTCTGGGCTGCATCTCCATCTGTTGTTACTCCTCCCCCCTTCCCCCACCCCATCTTCAGCATGTATACTAACATGCTCCTAGCTACAATCAGTTCCGAAGAAGGGTCACTGGACCCAAAACGTTAGCTCTGCTTTCTCTCCACAAGATGCTCCCAGACCTGCTGAGCTGTCCCGACCATTGCAGTTTTTGATTGTGTTCATCAGGTCCAAGGCAACTCTCCCAAATGGCTATTCAAATAATTCTCCATTCCCGTCTGTTACCCCATGATCCTGACAACTCTTTATTTCTCCGCTATCTATCCAATTGTCATTGGAAAGTTACTGTTGAATCTGCTTTCACCACCTTTTCAGGCAGTCATGCAAAAGAACTCTCGTCTTTCATATCATCCCTACAAGAGTTATTTTTTTAACCTGACTTCTTTGTTTACCAATTCCCCTGCTCAGTTGAAATAGTCTCATTCTATTCTGTGTGAAATCTGTTAGTGATTTGGAGCACCTCTACAAACCTCTGCTTAACCTTCTTTATTCGACGGAAGATATTGTCAACTTGTCCTGTCTCTCCCGGAAATGCTCCCCTCATCCCCTGTACTATTCTAGATAAATTCTTCTACACCATGTTACAAAAAAAACTAAGTTTTCGTGCCAACATCAAATAACCAGCCATGATCAAGTGTCAGAGCAGACTTGATGAGCAGAATAATCTAATTCTGCTCCTATGTAGAATCATAAAGTCATACAGCACAGAAATAGACACTATGGTCGAACTCATCCTTATTGATCAAGTTTCCCAAAGTAAACCAGTCCCATTTGCTTGCATTTGACCTATATCCCTCTAAACCATTCCTAGTCGCGTACTTGTCCAAATGGCTTTTAAATGTTGTAACTTTACCTGCATCTATCACTTCCTCTGGCAGCTCATTCCACGTGTGAACCACCCTCTGTGCGAAAAAGTCATCCCTTAGGTCCCTGTTAAATCCTTCTCCTCTCAACTTAAAAATATGCTTTCTAGTTTTGAACTCCCCTACTGTAGGGAAAAGACTCTTGACATTCACCTCATCTATGCCCCTTATGATTTTATAAACCTCAATAAAGTCATCCCTCAACGCTCCAGTGACAATAAGTCCCAGCCTATCCTTATCACTCCAACCCTCCAGTTCCGGTAACATCCTGGTAAATCTTTTCTGCACCATCTCCAATTTAATAATATCCTTCCTGAAGCATGGACTAAAAAAAGAACAGATCTCATTTTGCAGTTAGGATTGTGGTTTAATTAGAATTGCAGTAGCAGAAGGGACTGAGATCTTTGAGTGTCCCTAACACCAGCCAATTTTTCTGATGTTCATCCTGAACCCAGTCTCAATGACACACTGTAGAACTACCTCATATGAGTTTACCCATTTATCTCTTTGATCTGGTTGGTGTTGGAACAAACTACAGTTACATTAGTTGGAACAAGATGTTGTGGCTTTCAGAATTATGAAGCAAATTTCGACTTAAGTTTTTCACAATCGTTTAGTGCTTCTGATACAAGACTAGTAACCAATAAGTTACATCCTACTGGAGCAACTTGGCAAATTAACTTTAACAAACTCTGCTCATTTGAAGCCTGTGTAGCTGATCAAATGACCAGGCAAAGTGGTTGGATTCTGGTAAAAATCCAGTGGTTTCACTCATGTCTTTCAAGGGAGTGAATCAGTCACCCTGACCTGACCTAGTTCGAATGCTGCTTCAGTAACAGTTCACTTAAAGGAGAGCCAATTCATATAAATGGGAATGCAAAAGGGAGCACTCAATGGTCATTTAAAAACCGGAAGGCAACAGTGAATGTAACCAGATTGAAGGATCAATGGATGTGCAGGACACTATCATGAGAGAATGCTAAAGAACTGGACAGTGCAACTAGGCAAAAGTCTTGAAAGAGAGGGGTGAATGAAAGAGTGAGACAGCACAGCATTGCTGTGACCCACCTTAATAAGGATGATCTGTAGGGAGAAATGGCCGGTTGCCCCCTTCAGCAGTTCATGTAGGCAATCAGTTCCCTCTCTGTGGTGGTCAGAGATGGTTAATAGCTCTCAAGGAGTAGCTGACAATCTCCTTCCATCTGTCAGCTCCCTACAGCCTTGCTGAGCGGCACAGTGGCTCAGTGGTTAGC